GGCTCTCCAGGCTTCCCGAAGGGAGTGAGGGTCTGCCGGCGGCGCCTTTGCGGGGGTCGATGCGGAGCCACTGGCCCCACTGCACGCCTGATGCGTCTGCTGGGAAACCCCCCCGGGGCCCGGCAAACGCCCGAGTGTCTCCCCAGGCACGGCCGCGTCCCCGCGCTGCGCGGAGCGGCGGGAGAGGGCTCTGCTGCGCGGAGGGATGGCTGCGCCCCACATCTCCCCCCCACCGCATCCCTGCCTTCAGCCGAGAGGAAACGGGGCCGGCCTTTTAACTCTCCTAAGAGCACTTGGGCAGAAATCAACCCCGCTGGCGCTGCGCGGGAGCGAGCCCGCTCCAGGCTGGGCAGCCCAGCCGCTGCCGGCTGAGCAGGACCGGATGGCACGAGGGGCGGGTGGGGGCAAGGTTTGCTGGCAGATTTTAATATTAATAGTTTCGGTGGCGAGAAAGAGACAGACAGAAGGGAGGTTGCTCCTCTGGGCAGAGTCTCTGCGACAGTGATGATGGATGACCCCGCACGGCTAAACAACTCCTCCCCTTCATCCCCGCACGGTGTCAAAGCTACTTTACTTGCAGCTTTAGGAATAAAAAAAAAAAAATAAATAAACACCTTCACCCCATTCCTTGCATCGATTTATGGATCATTATGAATCAATTACTGCTCTCAATATTTTAGAATTTGCTTACAAAAGAAAAGGAGGGTCTGCGGCTGGAGGAAAAAAAAAAATCTTTTCCTTAGTTAGAAAAACAGAATCTTCTTGAATAGGCCTGTGACTAAAAAATCGCTGCTAATAATTAGCGTTGAATCATTTTCCAGGAGCCGCATTACCGGGACGAGGTGAATATCTTTGGTGTGCATCTCCAAGAGCGCCATTAAAACCAGGGGGTTCCGCAATGCGCGTACAATACGTATGGTGCGTGCGACCTCACTGCTTAACTATTCCGGGGAAAGAAAGAAAGAAAGAAAGGAACAAAAAAATATTTTAAAGGCCCAGAAGCAACCCCCTCCCCCCAAATGGTGGATATGGTGCCGGGAGAGGGCTCGGGGCTGGGAGCGGGCTGCGCGCCCACGGGGCAGGACAGCGGAGCCCGGCTCGGTGGCCTCGAGCAATGGGAAGGAGGCTTCAGCAGGGACAGAAAGTGTGTGAAGTTGGATTTCTCTCGCTTTCTCTGTATTCTCCCATTTGCAGCAGTGTTTGAGGATCTCAAGGTGTTTCTATGGCTACCTTGTGTATGTGGGAGGGTCATATGTGGGGGTGCCCAAGAGAAAAGGCAGCTCTTGGGTGATCATTTATCAATGTCACCCACATAATGATTCTCTCTGCAGCCTTCTATTGATGAGGATAATTACATTAGCTCAGAGTGACTGATCAATGAAAAACCACCAAACAAAAACTTCTTTACTCTTCTATAATACCAAAAACCGATACAGAAATAAGATAGAAAGGGAGGGTGGGATTTCCCTTTCCTTCCCTTTAGCAATTATTTTTGTAACGAACAAGGGAAAGCAAGGAAGTTTTATCCGATTAGTTTCCTTTTCAGAAGAGGCTACCATTTTGTGAAAATGTTCCCTTAAACCCCTTGGCATCATCCCGTGCCTAGTAAAAGCAAATCGTTATTTAAAATATTAACTGCTGCTTCTTCCCCAGACCCTAAATCCTTTGCTTTTACAGTTGTGTTTTGTGATCGGAGGACGGGGCTTGGAGGGGGAGGGAAGAGCGGGATAGTTTGGAGCTGCAAAGAGGGAGAGGGAAGGCAAATAACTTTTCTTGCGCAATTTCAACTGTCTCTGTTTGTCAGGTTTTCTTTGGTTTTATCACTTCATAAAGTGGCTCTATTAAAGATGGAATGTGGCCTCCCTGAGATGCTGCTCTGTCGGTGAAAGCTTGCAATTAAATTACGGGTTCGTTCTTTCCAGAGTTAAAAATCAATGTTTTCTCAATTAAAGGGAATTTTAATGCTTTTATTGGGAGTTGTTAAGGACGCCGTAAATTTTACTGTAATGCCTCTAAGCTCCGAAGCCCTGCCAGCGGACAGGTTGATATTCATGTTGGTTTTGGCGGAAGAGGTTGTCGCCGGTTTTGTTTTCTCTCTGAAGGGCCTTCTTCAGCAAACTCAATCATTTTGAATAACTGCGAGACAAACCGGTGCAAAGGGGCGGAGGAGCGCAGGCTCTTCCTTCTGCCCTCCCCTCTCCGTTTCGTACTGTGGCTGTGGCAGGGAGCTCTGCCTTGCCGCTCTCCCAGCGGGCTCAGGGGCGGCTTTCCAGCTGCTTCGGCTGGGAAGGGAGAAGCGCTCCGGGCTCGGAGCACGTGTTTGGCGGCGGTGGCTGTCCCTGCCGGACAGCGGAGGGGACAGCGAGCTGCCCGCTCGTAGCCTGCGGGCTGCGCTGGGGAGGAGCTGCCCGCTCCCGCTCCACACCCCTGGAAGCGGCTGCCTACACACATGACTGCAACTCAGCCCTGGGACCTAAAGGGATGGAAGTCGCAATAGGGCTGGCAGAGACACTTTTTTTTTTTTTTTTTTTTTTTTTTTTCCTTGCCAAAATATTGTTTCTTCACAGGCTACTGTCAAGTAAAATCCCCACCAGGAGGTTGATCTTGAACACATTTGCACGGGGTTAATTCCCCGAGCCGCAGGAGAGATCGTCCCCGGGCCGTGAGATCAGAAATAGGCCCCTATCGCCTGGTTTTGTCCGAAGCGTGTTTAAAATTCCTTAAATTACCCCAATGAAGAACCAGTGCAAACTCCTTTAGAACCAGTGCAAACTCCTTTGATTAAAGCGACTGTCAGCTTCTTCGAGATTGGGAGAGAGAAAACGCAGAGTAGGATGTATTTATTATTTATACTATAGTCCACTGTGAACTGTTGGAAGGGGAGGAATAGAGAGCGCGTTT